TAGAAATTAAAATAGGGCACATCTTGCCATTACATGAAATTTTCGCAAAATACGAACCCTTCTTGGATTTGATTTGATTTAAGTCAATTCCTACAAGTTTTTCAAAATCCCCTAGTTTTCCTTCGAAAAAAACTGAAAAGAGAAACTCTGAGAAGAGGCAGCAACCAGAAATCTTTCTCTCACTCCCCTCCAGCAACCAAATACGACCCTCCCTCCTTTCGCTGAGATCCCAGCCCTGAATCAAAGTTCACATAAGTTCAAAGAGAGCAAGGCTTTTACAAGGGCGCATGAGAGTTCATAAAATGAAGTTATTCCGGAGCAATTCGAGACACCGAGGGATTTATAACTCACGAAAAGCGACCTTCATATTAGAAATAATGCCACCTCGTTGCATACATAAAAAAATACCCAAAACGTTTTTCTTCTTGACTTCAGATGTGAGCACATTTTTCAAGGACATTAGTCTATACACTATTCATAAATTCCAGCATGTGAAAATTCCAAGGTACCTGTGTCTAACGATGCAGTAATTCTTCTTGAATTCGCTATTAAATTTCTAGCTCAATGAAGAGAGCCTTGGGATCAATGTACAGCATCGTGATGTGTTAAATGGTGATGTAGGACCTCCCCCCCTTCCGAGAGAGGGTGTCAGTACGACCCCCCACCTAAGTGAAGGTCTCGGTACGACCCTCCCCCCTTCCCCAACACCTACCTACCAATTTCCCACATTTTCCAGTTTTTCACCCAAAATTTTCCGTCGAGGGGGGAGGAGGCGCATGGGGGAGGGGGAGGGTGGTATATAGTACACATGAAACAGGAAAAAGTCAACAACCAGGAAAATTTTTTCCCAACACAGCAAATTTCTCTTGAAGACACATACGACCCCTCTCCCAACGACCAAATACGACCCCCTCCCCAGCGGAAAAGTACGACCCCCCCCCATGTGTTTCACACAACGATGCTGCACACTGCTTGGGATAAGTGAACATCTTTTTACAATGCGAAAAATCCATTTTTGCACAAGATACCTCTTCACTCACCTGCAAAGCTTCTGCCCACTTCCCAGACTCAGGGAAAAGAGTTATAAGCAATCAGTAAGGTCAATAATCGTATTTAACTACAACTACTATGAAAGAAAGTAGAGGAGAAGTAGCGGAGCGACTAAAGGATGCACTCAAAGTTGGGTAAAACCCCTCTCATTTATCCAATTCCTACTAAAGCAATAAAAGCCAAAGGAGTAAGCACACGTGCTCGATTTTCTCCTAAATTTTGAATTCGTGCAATTAATTTTCTGTGACATTTTTTCAGCTTGCTCTTATGGCAAAAAAAATACGGTAACAATCAAAAGTAACGTCGAAATAAC